AGCTCTTTTGTAAATCATCTGCGCATAAAATTCTTTTGACCTTTTTGTACGCACTTTGTTCCTTTTTAAATCATCTTCCACTCATAAAATTCTTTTAAGCTCTCCATGTACTTGTTTCATCATCCGTCCACAGATCCGCCCGCGCAAATGTAAACAAAATGTTTCCCACGTATAAAAAAATGTAATATTCCTCGGGCAAGAAAAATACTCTACAGTCTGGCACCTGGGTATTGTTTGTTTCCCACAGCCATGTAATGTTAGATAAAATTTGCCTTGAATTTACAAAATAATATGCATAGGCAGAAAATAACATTAAAATTTAAGAAAATAGATTGTGACAAGTGCCATGATTATAAGTTCAAGCCCCCACAACATGTATTCTTCAAGATAAAGAGTCTAGATAGAAAACAATTGTACCTTTGTGAAGCAAAGATGAACTTACCATCATTTTCTGTAGATTTTTTATACCTGGTCATGTTGTTTCAAGAAATCTGGTGTAACACCGGCCTTATTCAATAGGTAAATCTTGAAATAAGGACTATGTGGAGAAAAATGAAGGTAAGACCTGTAAGTATTACCTTCATTTTTCTCCACATAGTCCTTATTTCAAGATTTACCTATTGAATAAGGCCAGTGTTACACCAGATTTCTCGTTGTTAGGGCTACATCACATGTATGCATATGAGTATATAAACGGTATTTCCACGTAATAAGTATGAACCTAACCTAATTGAGAGTGGTATCATCTTCTCGTGTCGAGTTTGCTGCCACCTTGTTTGTTTCGCCACGCATGCACATGGGGGCTTTTCTGCCATACTCGGAGTCACTAAATAGCATAGGCAAACAAACTGTTCAGCAATTACATCATATTGTCTTGTATAAGATATGATTACTGCCTGAAATTACTCTGGATTAATTTCTGCTTTTCTTTAAATTTGCAGACTTTACATTTCACTTAAATTTACTTTTCAGTTAAAACCATGGCCAGCAAGGATTCTGACGATGACATGCCTGCGGAGTTTGAAGATGCTCTGTATCGGATTACAGCAAGGGAGAGCATGGAACTGTTAGCCATTCTAACAGACATTGAAGAACTCAAGAACCAAATGATGAAAGTCAGAGCAGATAGTATTTATGGTGAGTTTTCTTGAAGATTGAATTAATTGAAGGCTCTAACCAATAATTACTTATTGAAAATTATTATGCATTTTAAATTATGAATGATAAGACTTTGGCTATTACTGTTGCCTAACTGAATAAAATGATTAAGAAGACACATGCAGTGGCTTCTAAAATGGGACTTCTTCATAACTATTAAAAACTGGGTATAAGCAGTGGATGAAGGCCAATAAAGTTTGATATAACCAATATCTGTGAAGAATTTTTACACCTGTAGTGCTTTGGCAGAAGACAAAAAATGTCTATTTTTTCCTTATTTGACAATAAATTGCAAATGGAGCTTTGCAAACTTTTGTCTTGATAGAATAGACCTGTATATGGTGGAGGTTTGCTAGCCTTTGCTGGTGTGCTGAAGATGTGAAGACGCAGTAAATATATGTGTTGGAAACATTTACCCATAAATCTACCTGCTTTATAGATTTTTTATTTGTTAATTACTGCTAATAATTTATCAATTATTATTGTTTTTTATAACAGCTGAAAAAGAGATAGAAGCTGTTCAGAAAGATGCTAATACAAAGGAACAGCAGCTGTCAGGCAAAGAAGAAAGGACCAGGGTCACAGTGGAAACTGATGAGCTCCACAGTGCACTAGTGAACCACAGAATAATCCGTGATGTATTCCAAACTAGTGTGTTTAATACCCAGGTAATCTTTATTATTTGTTTTTATACTAATAAAGGGCAAGTTTATTTAACCTCTATCCCCCACCTTCTTCCTTTTTCCTACTTTATTAAGAGCATTTTGCTTAGTATGACTTTGTAGCTTGATTCAGTGCTATGCAGTATAAGTATACTTGTATTTAAAGGTTGATTTCACTGGTGAAAAAAGTGTGATGCTATATAATCATTCAAAACTTTGATATTTTTTATACATATTTTTTTTTTTCTTCTTCCTTTTGTTTCACTGATTGCAATAAGAGAAGTCTATAACCATATACATTTACAGATAATGTAGAAAATTGTATGACTTTACTTGGGTATGCATATACAGATCAAATGGATTGATTAATTTCAGATACAACAGGCTGTACATGCAAGTGTGAAAAAGATGGACACTGATGAGTTAGTTGAAAATTTTCCTGAAAAAGGGTCAGTAATTTTTAATCCTGTTGTTTATTGTAAATTGCAAATGAAATTTAAGATACATTTGTTTGGTTAAAGGTTAAGAACTGGTTTACTAGTAATAGTAATCAAATTTCTTTTGTTAAATTCTGTCAACAACAGATAAAGCACAAATGTTTAATTTCATGTGAAAGTTTGAAGTTAGATAACACTAAAACCCTCATAGTTCTATTGTTATATATGTGAAGCTTGCTTAACACTATGGTTTATATACTTGCAGACAGATGTTGGCACACTACAGTTCCAATTTAAACACTAGTAAAGATATAGCCAAAATCATGAGTGAAAATGACCAACTGGAGAAGGAAATCTTGGAACAACGGTTAAAATACCGCCAGCTTTTGAAAGGCATCAAAGAAAAGTGGGAAACATTAGATGAGAAGAAGCTTGATGCAAGTGCAAATTTGCCAAGTCAATATGATGAGTATGTGCAATTCATGTTTCATATTTCTGAATCATATATATCTTGCTGATACTAAAGTTGATCCTAGTCATAATGGCCCTGTTGTCATTATTATTTTATTCTTTTTATATGTGGAAATATAATGAAAAGAAAAGGAAAAAGCTGAACTATTGTCTTTCAAGGTGTTCATCTATTTTGTACATCTGTAGGGTGAGGTGTGTAGATGCCTGTACACATTTGTGCAGCTATCTTGCTGAAGAATTTTGCTCTAATAGTCTTTGTTATATTCTGTACACAGATTGCAGAAAAAAGTTCAAGAGAGGACATCAAAGATGAATATACTTGTGCACATGATCCAAGGGTTGATAAGCAGTAGTGGTTTCCAGTGGGGCAGTGATGACTTTTATGTTCAGGTAATATTCTAAATTGCAGCAGATCTTGATGATAAATAAGTATTTTTATTTGTAAGAAAATCAGTATGTAAAAAAGATGAGTGAGAGTGAATAATACCACAGGGCAAGGTATTTAGCTATAAATTATGATATGCAATCAGTTACACATCCTATAGTGTAGTATTTCTCATTCATGGCTTCGATAAACATTCAATTTCTTAATAAATTGAATATTTCTTGATAGTTGTATTGTTACATTTGTTTTGACAGGTGATGATGCTGTGTGATATAGCCCTCAGATTTGGTGACTATAGTGAGGCACAGAAAGTGCTTGCAGATGTGGTTTCCCTAAAAGAAGCAAAGAAGAAACAAGAAAGCAAAAAGAAAATAACCTCATATTTTACAAGCACTCCAGCTGCCAAAAAGAAGTGATCTGATAATGCCACACTTAGGAACTCGTATATAATTTGTGTTTGAAAAATAATTGAGCTTTATATTTCTTTTTAGTCCTTTCCACGGTTTTGAATTTGAGTTTCTATCATGTTGCTCTGGCATGTAAATATCATTTATTTTTTAATATGGCAAACATCGCTGCAAGCTAATATTAGGTAAATGTTCAAAATGTAAACATTTTTTAATTAGTTAATTATATATTGTATACAGATCTGTACAAGATTTTTTTTATTGGAGACTGTCTTTTATTATTCCAGTGGTGATTTGGTCATTAAGACCAAGTGTTTGAAAATGTTTATATCAGTGTTCTGTAACCTTTTTCAGCTCGACATCCCCTAAAAACACTCAGGTAGTCACAGTTTACAAATGAGAAGTACTTAAAACATTTTTACACATGTGGTAGCTTGCCATTATAATCAGGGGTGGGTCCAGAGAATTTTCTTGTGGGGGGCACAGGGGATAACAACAGTAAATTTGGGGGGGTGGGCGACCAAAAATAAAAGAAATTAAGGTTGTCCACTCCAGTATTTATATTGTACAGTTACAAATTGTTCATATTTTCATCTTGCTTTTCTTGGCCACATTTAATCTGCTAGGGGGGGGGGGGTGCCGCCATTTGAAGCCCTGCCTCTGTAGTGATAATGATAACGTTATTATTTTATCATAATTATGATTATAATAAAAAATTAATAATAATAATGATTATGATAGCAATAAAAATAATAACAAATAATAATGATGATAATTACAGTAACAACAACGATAACAATTATAACAATAATGGAAAGTCTCCGTCAACATCAGAGCTATTCGTGATGCGCGTTTCCACAGCTTGTTTTCCTCGTCGTCTTCCTCCATCTCCCTTTCCTCATGTTATTTTTCCTCAACGCCCCCCCCTCCTCCTCCCTCGTCGCCTTCTCGCCTACTTCCTTCTAATATTGCGGCCATTCCCCTCCTGAATATCTTAAATATGTTCGAAGCGTGTATGATTTTACTTTTTCGTATTGAAATCCTTCACTCCACATTTTTTCTTTTCGTTTTTCTTTTTCTTTTTTTTCTTTCGGTGATACCTGGAATCCCAGTGTATAGTTCTCTGCCTCGCAAGATGCAGCTAGTCTAGTCGCAGTTTCAATATATATATATATATATATATATATATATATATATATATATATATATAATTTTTTTTTTTTTTTTTTTTTTTTTTTTTTTTTTTTGCAAATAGTATTTAGGATTTCCTTTCATTTCACCCTCCTCACTCAGTCACACACACACACACACACACACACACACACACACACACACACACACACACACACACACACACACACACACACTCTCTATCTATCTATCTTTTCACTTTCATCGTCCCTTCATTTCCCTGTTTTCATCTTAAGATTTCCACTTTTTAGCTCTTGCTGGAGTTTTAGTAACTACGCTTACAATTCTT